CGTGAACCCGCCCCAGGATGGGTCTGGGGGTGCGATGTCTGAGGGGGGGGGGCCCATCGCCCCTGGAGGGTGACCGAGTAGGGGCGACGACGACGACATCTCAGAGTAACAGTGTGCACAGTGTAAATACGCAACATAAATACACAGCGTAAATACACAGCGCAAATACACAACGTAAATACGCAGCGCTACGCAACCCACGCGCGCAAGACCCGCGCATGCACACCGCGTGCATGCACGGCGCAACGCTTGCATGCGCAGCACTGCGCGACACCACGCGCACGCTCAACCTAAATGCGCGACACCACGCGTATACACAGCGTAAACGCACAGTGTAAATACACAGCGTAAATACATTGCATCAATGCACAGTGTAAATACACAGCGTGAATACACAGCGTAGATGCACAGCGTAAATGCACAACATATATACACAGCGCTACGCTACCCGCGCGCAGCGTCCGCGCATGCGCACAGCGTGAATACGCGGCACGACGCTTGAATACGCAGGGCTACGCAACACCGCGCATGCGCGCAGTGTGCATGCACGGCGCTGCGCAACGCACAACGCCCGCGCGTGCGCGCAGCGCAATACACACGGCGCCAATACGTAGTGTTATTACGTTGAGTGTTTTCGCTGTGTATCGACAAGGTTTTTTTACGTCGAGTATTTACGTTGTGTTTCACGTCGCGCCGCGTTGTGTATTTACGTTGTGCATTTGCGCAAGCTTTGCTACAACTCTCACAGGGGGCTTTGGAGACGAGAAGATGACCAGTTAAACTAGACAGGAAGAAGATGAAGACGTGGGAATACAGCAAAAAGGGCCAGAAGTTGGAGGAGTTGGGGGTCCGGTCGACGAGGGCGCGGGAGAAAATTGACCCGTGCAGTGTGCGAAGAACAGGATTATATGAGCGCCGACGAGGTGCGCGCCGGGCATAATATTATGGGGCGTGGCTCTCGCGTAGTGTAGTGGTTGCTCTGTGCCGATTTGGACGTTATCATGCGCGTCAGGGAAGTGGTGGCGTGGGGGTGGGCAGCGAGGTCTTGCGGCGAAGAGGCCGGCAAAACGTGCAGTCACATGTTTCTGCTCGCCAGTCCGAGATGCCGGCGTGGCGGAAAATTCGATTCGTGCTGGGGCCTGCCGCGGGTTCATGCGATGATTAAGGGTGCCCATGGTCTGTGAATTGTGAGGTGATGCGAGCGAAAACACATGATCCCGAGCAGATCAGCTTTATTGTTGATTGGACGTCCAGCGCGCGCAGCCTCCAGCATATTGCGGACCCTCAGCTCGAAAAGACTTGGGTGGGGAAGGTCGGGCCAAGGGAGTTGTTGGGCTGCGAGGTTGAGCGCTTCAAGTTCGCGTGGGAATTATGCGAATCGCAGGGCAGCGATGGGTTATGCTTTCCCTTTGAACACCCTTCGGGGGCCTCGAGCTGGGCCGCGTCGTCGACGCGGACATGTTTATGCGCGAAGGTGTCCAGACGCACGACGGCGATCTGCGCATTTTCGGCCTGGAGCAGGTTGTGAAAAGGTGAGGGGGTGGGGTGGTGGTGGGGGGTGGGTGGGTGCTCTCGGAGAAACTCGCGCGGCTCATGGCTGACGGCCCCTGCGTCAGAAGTGGCCCCGGCCTGAGATGTCAAGGCCAGCGTTGACATATTGAGTTAATTCGAAGCGGCCGAACGAGGAGATCCGATATCAGGGGCGCACCTGGACCGTCTATGTCGAGCTATGCTCGAATGCCTCGTCGACCGGATGACGGCTGGCGATCGAATAGGGTGCCCCGTCGGAGTCTATGACCAATTGGGGGGAACCGGGCGAAAGAACGGACATTAATGGGACTGGGTGCGAGCAGAATGAGAGCAGCGATGGGCCCGCGCTAATTTGGGCGAGGAAAGATTTCGGCACCGTCTGTTCAGTACCCCCGGGGTGTTCAAGACCAAGACGGGGCCCAAGCCCGCGCAGAGCTACTCTGGACTTGGTCACTGGTCAAGTGCTTGAGGACAGGGGGTCCGCGAGAGCAAGGGGGGGATCGGAGGAAAGCGTTTCGCCGCTAGATTCACCTGCCGGGTTTCCCGGGGCTTCCAGCCGCATCAGTGGATTTCCCGAGCGCGCCGGCGCTGGAGCTGGTTGAAAGTTGCAGGGGCATGCGAGGCATGCGGAAGTGCTGCTGAAGTATTGCCAGTTTCCCAGGGGGACATCTGCGTGGTTCGCCGCGAATATGGTCGAGCGCGGGCTTGAGACGACGCATCGGGCAGCTAGCTCGTCGCAGTGCGCGCGGTGCAAGTCTGGCTGGGGGAGTGGGGGATGGGGCAATCTAGGAATTGCGAGGGCTACATGAAAGTGAAGGTGGAGGAGTGCTGGGCTGTTGCTGGTAAGGCCCTCGCGTGTGCGAGGTGGGCTGATATCCTGGGTGCTGATCCCAGCTTGTGGCGCAGCAAGCCAAGTGCAATTCCAGAGAAAATGACGCATGTGCGGCCATCTCCCCAGTGGATGTCCAACAGCTGCTTCTTTTTATTGCAGTTTCCGTGGAAACAGGGCATCGCCGAGGGGGGCGTGAGAGGGGATTCACACGCGGTTTATTGATCTTAAGCGTGCATCCTTTTCCGCCGCGGCCAAAACGCATCTTCTCCAGGTTGCCCGAAGAAGATAGTGATCTGGAATTGCGTGGGGGACTTCGACAGTCAATGTGCGGCGCCCAGGGTTCCCCCAACAACCGGGGGGGCGGTTGCATGTGATTTCGCTGGCGATTTCGGTTTTGCATCACCGTTTGCGTTCAAACATAAGATAGGGCGAATCTGGCGAACGGTGCGCGGGGGTAATTTTTACTTCAGTGAGTGATGATGCTTACCTCGACTGGTTCGAAGGAAAAATAGGCGAGACATTCTAACTTTCTTATCCATTCAGACTCAGATCGGAGCCAACGTATGTAGGCTAGTCAGGATTCTTAACCGAAGTATGGAACGGAGCCAGAATGGGTTTTTGTACGGGGCGGATGAAAGGGATGCTGCGATATTTGTCAAACAGTGGGGCCTGGAGCTGTAAAACGCGAGGTGTGATGTACCCGGCGAAATGCAAAGTTGCGAGGGGGAAGGCGAGGAGCTCCTCGCAAGTCATGAAGTTGAGGAATGCCAGGCTTCGGTGTCCCTGGGAAATTATCTCGCGCAGGGCCGTTCGGATATTCTGTTCTCGATTGAGGAGCTGGCGCGTTGCATGTCGGCCCCGAGGCGAGGGGCATGGGCAAATCTTAATCGAATTTGGCCAGTGCCTCAAGGGCTGTGGCAGGTGTGGGTGCCAGTATTTGTGCCAGGAACGTTTTAGGGAGTTACTTGTGTGGGCATACTTCGACTCTGCAGGTTGCGAGAAAACGCGAGAATCAAAGAGCGGAGGTTCTTCTGGGGTATTATCGAGGGCTTGCACATGCTTCGGTGGTGGTAGGATGCAACTGGTATTCAAAGATATTGCGGCATTTGATGCAAGAGCGGGGCAAATACAGCCCTTGCCATTGCGAGCAGGCGCGGGTTGGGAAAGGTCACGCACATCCAAGTCCGATAACTCTGTTTGCGAGAGAAGGTGATACGTGGATACATCAGAGTGATCAAAGTAGGAACCCATGATAACCTTGCAGCTGCTCTAATTAAATACGTGAGCAGGGGCAACACGTCCATGCCTATGCCAGGTGCCAACCAACCCTGTGTTGACATAATACAGGAGCTGACACCCAGTACGGAATGGTACCTCAAACCATTCAGGGGCTATCATCGCGAACTCATGTGGTGGGGACTTGTGCCCAGGATCAGTTGAGATCTAGTTGCTCGTCCTTGCGATTTAACTTCTTGTAGCATTGAATGCGTTAAGTACATTTCATGGCTTGGTGCTTTACGACTTGGTAAAACATAAATCGCGTGTTAGGACCCCCCTACACGCTTACGCCCACATCACAGCCGTTTGTTGCTTGCACCAATTATGATTATAACACTTCCTTTGACAATTTAGACTGCCGCGACGGAGTCCCGGCTGCGCCACGCTGCCTATTTGTTTAGTACCCATCCGTTACCTAGTCGGTTTCGCCTTCTCTTTCCCGCCCGTCACCAAATTCGGCTCTTTCGCCGATGGGCGGGGTGTTGGATTGTAGCGTTCCGACTGGGTGAACAGGGTCGGCGAATGTGGCTGTAGCCCAGTGTAGCAGCACACTCATGCGAAGTTGGGGTCGGAACTGTGCATGGACGTTTGGCTCAAGTTTCACTTGTTTTCTCGTGTGAAAGCTCTGGCCGGATTTGCAGGAGGATGGGGAGGGAGGGGTGAAAGAGGGATGAGGAGAAGGAGGGGGTGGGGAGGGACACGAGGAGGACGAGGGTATGTAGGAATCAGAGGAGGGGGAGGAAACGGAGGTGGAGGAAGGGAGGAGGGGAAGAGGATACTATTGATGTGGACGGCAAGTAGGAATGGGAGGGCACGCGGATTAGCACATTGACGAGTGAAAAATGTTGCCGATGTCATCAGCGGTGATCTTCTGATGATGGGTGGTGGTGAGGAGGCTGAGAATTATAATCGTCAGGATGAGAAGGATGATGGTGGTGATAATAATGGGGATGGCGATGGTTATGTTGTTGGCAATGATGGCCAGTCGGATGGCGATGGTTATGCTGCTGAAAATGATCGTCAGGAGAAAACGGGATGGTTGTGGATGATGGGGATGATGATGATGGTGATGATGATGATTCTGAAGTTGCTGATCATTGTGGTGGTGACGATAACGATGAGCTGGAAGAGGATATGGGGGAGGTGGCTCTGCGTCCGGTCAAGGCGTCAAGTTGCGGATCTGACCCAATCCGAGCATTTCTTGAAACATCGACGGGGGACATTCAGGGAAATAGTAATGATGGATGATGCTGGTGATGATGATGCCGAGGATAATTGTGATCTTGATGGTGTGATGCTGATAATGATGCGGGGGATGACGAGGGGGAGGAGGAGGGAACGAGGAAGGAAAGTTGTGGAGGCCTGGCCGCGACGTCTTCGCCACGCTCCTGGACGAGCATGAAAGCTACTTGCCTGGGGTGCAGGCATTCTTCGCCTCTGTCCCCGCCGCCGTCACCCCTGTTTTTCGTGCTTCGTTCTCGTCGTCGTTGTTGTCGTCGTCGTCGTCGTCTAGCTGCTCCTCTTCCTCCTCCCTTCTCTTAACCTCTTCTCAATGATTCTTCTTTTTCTCGCCGTCCTCTTCCCCCTCTTCGAGCTTGTCGAGGAGACCGAGAAGGGCTCCTCACGAGTTCCATCGTTGGTCAACTTTGGCTGCCACTCGGCAGCCGATGAAGGCGTGGGCGTGGTGGTACAACGGCAGACACTTCGCCAGACACCACATAACTGGAATGAATCAAGCAGTCCCAGCACAACATTGCCTATACCAAACACCTCCTGGAACACTCACACGATGTACACGTCAGCGTTCGCCTAGAAGGAGCTGTGTATAGGCGTTGCAGCAATGGAGGCTGCAATCAGGATCGCCACCACTTCCATAACACATCCCAACAGAAACAATTAGGCATTGAACTGCGTGTCGGATGCATCGACCATCCAGCTCGTCCCTGCACCAACATCGTACATGTAACAGGCCCGCTTGCATTGAAACAAACCTGGCAACAAGGGTCTTCGGGTGGCCCCCCTGATTTCAGGGACACTGCCAGCAGCGGGGTATTCGCCGACAGATTTGTCAATCACAGTCAAAACCTCCCCGAACAAGACAGTCTGGCCATCATACATCAGGCGGCAAACCGACCTTGTCATGAGGCTGTCATGCCGAAACATATCAGGAGGCTGTCATGCCGCACCTTGACCAGGTACACAGCTACGTCAAACTTGAAGGCCACGTCCGTGATCGGATTCAAGAAAGGGTGTCCGCGAGTTGGTCAGTTGGGCCATGTCTCTGCCTGCTGCATTCGGGTCGGTGGTTCAGGTCGCTCGTTCGTTGTGCCGCTGCCGCGTCGCTGCGCCCTTCCACGCTCTCTGCGGCCTGTCGGCGTCGGTCGGCTTTGGTCTCGCTGTCGGGTCGCCTGGTTTTTGGCTGCGTCGTCGTCTTGGGCTGGCCTTTGTGCTGTCCGGGTCTCCTCCTCCTCCTTCGCCTTCTCCTCCTCCTCCTCCTCCTCCTCCTCCTCAGACCTCCGTCGCCGTCGCCGCTGTCTTTTCGCTCCTCCCTCCTCCTCCTCCTCCTCCTCCTCCTCCTCCTCACCTGCAGGGGCGCGAAGACGGCAGAGCCTCGTGCCCTGCGGCCTGGGCCAAGAGCAGCGCGGAGCGGCTCGCGCGCCGCGCACCGCGGGGCGACGACGACGACGACGACGACGACGACGACGACGACGACGACGACGACGACGACGACGACGACGACGACGACGACGACGACGACGACGACGACGACGACGACGACGACGACGACGACGACGACGACGACGACGACGACGACGACGACGACGACGACGACGACGACGACGACGACGACGACGACGACGACGACGACGACGACGACGACGACGACGACGACGACGACGACGTCGACGACGACGACGACGACGACGACGACGACGAAGATCTGGAATTTTGGCCCAGCGTGACTTGGGTGGGCGCTGCCCCCCGCCCCGGTGGCGCCTCTCACGCTTCCCCTGGCGCGCGGGAGGCGCCGCTGGAGTTGGGTGAGCTACGGTCAGGAACTTTGGCTCAGGCTGCCCCCCCCCACTCGTCGGCGCCTCTTACGCTGCCCCTGGCGCGTGGGAGGCGCCGCCGGGGGGGGGGGGGGGGGGCAAGCGCCGACCCCAGAAATCCGAGCGGCCCGTGAAAGTTTCTGTGGGTGGGTGCCGTGGCTTTCCTCTCGTGCACCACCGCCGTCCGGCCCGGGCCAGCCGGGGCCCCGGGGCCTCGGGCCCCAGGACGGCGCTTTTTCGCCATGCCAGGGCCCAGGGGCGTGGTGGTGGCGCTTGCAGTCGGGAGCTTTTTGGCTTCGCGTGTCGCTCCGCCGGCGCTGGCCCACCACGCTGCGGCGCGGCGTGCTAATTCGCGTGCCCGTTTCCAGGCGGCAGCGCCCCGAGCCTTCTGCCGGCCCCGCCGCGCCGCAGGGCGGGAGGCGACACGTCGCCTGCTCGCCCGGGTAAAGAGCGTGTTTCGCCAGGGTTCGCCGCCGCGATGTGCCATAAGCACAAGTTCCCGACCGTAGTCGTTGGCATTCGGACATTTTTTGCAGCCGGCGCACATTCTCTTCCTCGTGTGTAGGCTGCGCCCGCGGACACGGTCAGGCCTTCCGCTGTCACCCTGCAGCCCAGCAGAGCAGAGGGGGAGAGCTCGCCGTCGGCTCAGCCTACAGAGGACCGCGCGCCCCGCAGAGAGCGAAGGGCACTGCACTGGCCAACGCGTGCGAACCTTTGAGCTCATCAGGCTCTGGAACATTCATTACATCCTCCTGCTCCTCCTTCTCCACCTCCACCACCATCATCATCTCCTCTTCCCCGCCGGCCTCCTCTTCTGCCTCCGCCTCCCACCGTTCTTCCCTGCATCCTTTGCCTTCCTCCTCCTCCTCCTCCTCGTCTCCTTCCTTCTCCTTTGCATACCTTATTGTCATCCTTGGCGTCGCCATCTCCAGTGCAGGCGCCGCCGCCGCCACCGCCGCCGCCGTCGTCGTCGTCGTCGTCGTCGTCGTCGTCGTCGTCGTCGTCGTCGTCGTCGTCGTCATCGTCATCGTTCGTTGTCAGTCGTCGTCGTCGTCGTCGTCGTCGTCGTCGTCGTCATCGTCGTCGTCGTCGTGGTTGTCGTCGTCGTGGTCGTCGTCCTTGTCGTCTTGCTCTTCCTCCGCACCCTCCTGCTGCGGCTGCGGCTGCTCCTCCTCCTCCTCCTCCTCCTCATTCTAGGCCTCCTCGTCCTGATGCCGCAGCTTCGCCTCCTCCTCTTTTGGTTCCTGCTCTTCCCCAACGTCTGGCTCCTGCTTTTGCTCATTCTCCTCGCCCCCCGTGCCTCGTCCCTCGTCCCTCCTTGCCTCCCTCCCTCGTCCCTGCCAGGAAGCTGGATACACTTGAGGCCGTGCACGCCAGGCTTCCGCATGTGTATCCAGCACTTGGCCCAGGATGTTCCACATGTAAATCCAGCCATGTGTGTTTCCAGCTTCCTGGTGGTCCCTCCTCTCTCCTCCCTTCTCCCTCTCTGTATCCTTCACATTCCTTCGCTCCTTCTCTTATTTGCTCCTATATTTGCCCTTTCTCCTTCCTGCCTGCTCTGTCCCAGCTCCCCCCTCCCCCTCCCCCTCCCCCCTTCTCCTCTCCTCCCTCTTCTCTTGTCCTTCGTCCCTTCCCCCATCCCCCTCTCACTCCCCTTTCCTCTCCCTTGCCTCCTCTCCCCTGCGCCTCACTCCCTCCCTTTCCCCCCCCCTCCTCCTTCCCCGCCCTCCTGCCTCCTTCCGCAGGCGCTGGCCGCCTCACTCCTGGAGTCGAACAACACCCAGCAGGGGAGAACGCCCGCCTGCATTCCCTGGGCTCTCTGGCAGCGCCCCCCTCCCGAAAAGCTCCCCCCCCTTCTCCTCCTCCTCCTCCCCGCCTCCTCTTCCTCCTCCTCCTGCTCCTCCTCCTCCTCCTCCATTCCTTTTTCTGATACATTACTTCTCCCTGTCGCACCCCGAGGCCAGATTTTCGGGCGGGCCGGGCGTTTCGCCTGAGACTTCCTCACCACTTATGATTCTGAAGCTTAAGCTTTGGCAGCAGTTTCACAGATGGGGGGTGGGTGGTTTTCAACATGTGGGTCTCGCCTTAGCGCCGCGCTCATTGGTTCCACAAGCTCGCAAGAGTTTCACGGATTGAGGATAACCCGTTTTCAAAATGTGAGTCTCGCCTCAGCGCCGCGCACATTCGTTTTATATAAAGTGGAAGAGCTTCACGGATTGAGGATAGCCCGTTTTCAAGATGTGGCTCTCGCCTTAGCGCCGCGCACAGTCGTTAAATCAATTGCAAGGGTTTCACGGATTGAGGGCGGTTCTTTTTCAAAATGTTGCTCTCGCCTTAGCGCCGCGCACATTCGTTCCTACAAGTTGCAAGAGTTTCACATGTTGCCGCGATCAACTGACCAGACACATGGAAGGATTCAGGATTTTGCGGGTGCAGAAGTTAAGTTTATTCGCGGCGTTGAAATCCCAATAATGGCGTTCTGGCACGATCCAGGATCGTCAAAACGCAACAGTCAGGTTGATCCGTGGCGTTGGAATCCCGAGAACAATGTTTTGACATGCTTTCGGGTCTTCAACGGGTTGTCTTCCAACGAGGCAGATCCTTCAATGAAAATGAACCGTTGTTGGGGCTTATGAAGAGGGAGCTTGGAGGGAGGGTATATTCCAACATCGTTGATGGCTGTTGGGTTTACACTGGTCCTCCTCCTCCTCCTCCCCGTCCTCCTCCTCCTCCTCCTCCTCCTCTCCTCCTCCTCGTCCTACTTTCCCTCCTCCACGTCCTCTTCCTTTTCCTCCTCCTCCTCCTCCTCCTCCTCCTCCTCCTCCTCCTCCTCCTCCTCCTCCTCCTCCCCCTCCTCCTCCTCCTCCCCCCACGGGCTGGACGGGAGGCGCACGCATGCGTCCCCCCCCGCCCAGTACAGCGTTTCGTGGCCCTCCTCCCCCTCCTCCTTGCGTTTCACGAGCCCAGTACAGCGTTTCGTGGCCCCATAGGGAGCTCCACCGAAGGTTCCAGGTCTACCGTCCGCATGCGTCCCCCCCACCCAGTACAGCGTTTCGTGGCCCGCCTCCCCCTCCTCCCTGCGTTTCACCCACCCAGTACAGCGTTTCGTGGCTCCATAGGGAGCTCCACCGAAGGTCCCACTGGCACCGCCCGCATGCGCCGGCCACCGCCCAGCACAGCCCTTGCTCCCTGCGTTTCACCCACCCAGTACAGCGCTTCGTGGCCCCATGGGGAGCTCCACCGAAGGTTCCAGTGGCACCGCCCGCATGCGTCCGCCACCACCCAGCACAGCCCTCGCTCCCTGCGTTTC